AACATTTCCAAAAATGGAAGGAGGTGAGAAAGGTGCCACTGTGTTTGATTTATTACATGGTCAATATTTTTAATTTGAGTTTCTATTTCATATGAAACTACAGACTTAGTATTTTGACTTCACAAACATCTAAATTGAACCAGTGCTGCATTCAATGTACCACATGACACAAAAATCAATGTTTATCTGTGTTTTTAATATTTACTTTTAAATTAAAATATTGAGTAATGTATAGTTCTAAACTTTGAATTATAATCTACAGTTTTATGCCAAACTTGTTGACATAAATTCATGAAATAGTAGTTCAATATAAATTTTGAATGCAAGTCAATAAATGAGACTACATGGCCTTTCACCTGTGACCCGTATTGAATAGATTAATGATGTTGTTTACATTAGATTACCTAAATATAGTGAGATTTTATTGAACTGATTTTCTATTAGTCTGTAATCCATATATTCAGATATTTGTAAATCTGAGCAACTTGCATCTACCCAGTGTTCGCCATTATTAATCTACCTATCTGAGTTCTCATACAGAACATATTTTATGAGCTGTCTTGCATGATCAAGAAGTGTTCTAAGAATTTTGTAAAACTGGGTATATAGGGAAGGTAGTGTATTTAAATTTAAGATTTATTGTACCCAAATTATTTTTAAAAGATACTTGTGTTTATACAGATCCTTTTGTCTAAAGTTTAGTGCCCCTTGTGGCTCAGCAGTAAACCTATGGGTTATCACACTAAAAATCTTATTTCAATAATCATGGTGGGCACAACATAAATAGATAGTCCATTGTGTAGCTTTTTGCTTAGCAACAAAATTCTGGTGAAATAAAACTAGGATTGTGAATGAAATAGTGTGTGAGACCCACATTATTGGTTAAAAGAGTTGTTTCATACATGCAATCAACAAATGTGTAATGAATGATGTCACAAGCAGCAAAAGAAAGGTTTAGTTTCACAGTTAAGTCAAAGATAGTTTACTGAGGTAAACAAAGAAGATTATGAGAAGTTTTGATTACTATTAAATTTTTTTGACTAAATTCCTTAAATGTACATGAAATGTTTAGTAGGGAAGAGATGTTGAACTAAAAGGTTTTCATTTCAACAAACTAATAAGAAAAGTGTACAGTTAACTTTTTTATAAGCATGTATAGCAAAGCCATGCTCAAGTAACAGAAAGTTTGATCAAAAATTTTTATTTTAATCAAACTATTAAGATAAGTTTCACTGTGGGTACATTTAATATTTGTTAGTATAATATAATATACCTGAAAAGCGATCATGAAGTGTGTTTTCATTTGAATCAACTGATAAAACAAACACTAGTGGTAGAATCATTAGATATTTATGAAATGGGAATTGTGATAAGTAGTTTTTCAGGAATCTTAACATCATGTTTTTTTTCTCCTGAATGGTACTTGTCTTTAGAAAGAAGAATAAATGGTGTTTTAAATGGAATTTAATTTCATGAGAAAATGTTTTGCTTACTTGTATAGCCACAGATCTGATAATTGTAAACATCATGTTCTGTGATAAAAAAAAAACAAAAAACATTTTTCACTTGTAACTAATTGGAGATAATTGTTTCATGCATATATCTGGTTTTGACCTCATTAAAAGTAGAGTTCTAAAAGAGAATCTGATTTACACAAATTCTTTTATGTATACTGGTATGTGTTTTGCAACAATAGATCTAGAATGTGTTTCAAGAATTAAATGAGTAGGTTATTTGTGCATATGTAAACAATTTAAACCATAATAAACAGTGAAATTTTTATAAAATGAATTAATGGAGAGTTTTTTTATGAATACACAGGTCTGTTATAGTAACATCTGTTAAATAAACATTACATTAAATTGATAGTTTGAGTATTTCGTATACCTTATGTTGATAGTTTATAGACTTGAAGCTGAAACCTAAATCCAGCTGATAAGACATCAGTGATACCAATAGTTATATTCTCTTGTTTTATGTGAAAGCAAAACACTGTTGACTGCAAGTTTTCTAGTTCTGACTGATCCAAAATCAAATGACTATTACACCACATCTATCTTCATTATTCTAATTTGATTTAATAACATCCAACACGGTTAGTAACTGAGATGTGACTACAGTCTGTTACTGAGAACTGTTACATGTTCTAGTTCTGACTGATCCCAAACAATCTGATTAACACTGTGTGTGTGTGTGTATTGATTATTCTAACTTGATTTAATAATATCCAACACAGTTAGTAACTGAGATGTGAAGACCGTCCCTTACTAAAAACTCATAGACATAGTGTTCTTATATTCTGATTGTTTCTATATATGTGTTAATTATTCTAATTTGATGTGGTAACATAAAAAAAACTATCTAAAATGTGAATACAGTCCGTTATTGAAATCTTATACATCTAGATGTAATCAAATAATGGATGGATTTATAGAAACAGATGTGAACACATCCCTTATTAAAAATGTATACACTAGATTTATGCAAATTTTAAGACTTATCAATGAAAGCAGCATGTAACTCACAACTGCTTCTGCCAGTGCCAACAAGGTCTTTACCCCCAAACCAGTGCTCCTCATAGTAGTGGTCTAGGCACCAATTACATCAGTGATGTGATCAACAAATGTTATTAAATTAAATGAAGTGTAATTATTATTTTTAAGTCATTTAAACATCATAATTAGGTTAGATATTAATAAAATGTTATTATTTTATTTCTATCATCATTTACTTGTTAATTTTAAACTTCATTTAACTTTATCATCAATAAGAAGAACAGGCAAACCAGCAAGGTGGTCTCCTGGATCCCAGAGTGGGTCGTATAGGAAATAGATTTGTAGTAGATCGGGTGTGAACATGGTCTGTTATTGAAAACTTTTACCTGCTAGATTCAAACAGACATAGAGATTTGTTTTATAGTAGCTGATGTGAAAATGTTATATTAATGACCTTCAAAAATCTAAGCAACCACATGGACTATAAGTTCACAGTAATTTAGATTTCAAGCAGCCCCATACTGATAATTAGACTTATGCAGGCATAGAGGTTAGAAATTATAACATCTAAAAACAGCCCTTATTGAAAACCCATATACCAGAGGTTGTGAACCTTTATACTACTAAATGACAAAATTATACTCGCCGAAAGTGCTGGTAGTATCTTGCATTCCAGGCACTACCAGGAATTTAGTATGATTTAGTAACACATAACACCTCACTTGAGTATTTAAACAGTGGAATTTTCCCAGGCTTGTGAACATTGCCTTTTTTATTCCTGACAAGGTATTTCTGCATACTAAAAGCATTGCATGTCGATGTACACACGATACTTTTGTAACCTGCCTGCGATGAAAGCAGTGATACCCATTTAGATTACCCTAACCAATGTATATAAAATCATTGCAAGTAACATTTCTTGCCTTTTAAATGAAAATAAGCAAATCAATGAGATTTAAGTAGTTAAGATATGAAAGTAGTTGAGTTGTGAACACCACTTTAGAAAACATCATCTTTAGAAACACAGTTGTTAGAGTTGTAGTAGTTGACATTTGAACACTATCTTAGAAGTCTTCATATTGAAAAACACAGCTTTAAGGTTTACTGTGGTTGAGTTGTAAACACCACTTTAGAAAACATCATGTTTAGAAACACGGTTGTTAGAGTTGTAGTAGTTGACATTCGAACACTATCTTAAAGTCTTCATATTGAGAAACATAGTTTTTAGGTTTACTGTGGTTGAGTTGTGAAAACCACTTAAGAAACACACTGGTTAAGATTTATATGTGAGGTGTGAACACAGTCACTAAACAACTTTAAAAAACAAACAATAGTTAGACTTGTATTTGAGGTGTGAACACAGTCACATAGTAACTCTATTAAGAAACTCAGATTTATGAGGAGGTGTGAAAGCTATTTCACTGACAACTGCTTCACACACTGGGTGTGATCAGGCAAAAGAGGTCACCTTTACTGCAAGCATTATCATGGTTGTGAATTATATGAATAGTTCCTTTAAAGTAAAACCAGTCATTTATTTCATTTAACTCATTATGTTTTCTCAGTTGAATAATAACAAAATTGCTTGAAGCTTTTTTTCATAATATACAAATATAAACATCTTATTGAGATAGCCAATGTTTGTTGGGCCTCATGCATTTTTTATTTTTTGGCAACAGTAACACTGGAAAACGCCTGATGGCCAAGTGTCGTCTGCTATACCAGGAGAATGAAGAACTTGGAAAAATGATATCCTCTGGCCGGATGGCTAAGCTTGAGGGAGACCTAGCTTTACAAAAAAATTTCAGTGAAGAGATGAAGAAGAGCCAGTCAGGTGCATTCAAAATACCTTTCTAATTATAGTAATTAATACAAGTATCATCCTAACAGTAGTTTCCATTTCTCTAATGTTTACTATAATTCTGAAAACGCTTAATGCATCATCACAAAATTTGGCAAGCTTTTAGTAAATGTACGATACTGTTGTGCACAAATCTTTTAATAAAATGTTTTTAGTAATGATTTGGTTGTGAATTTATAAGGCCTGTACTGAGTCAACCTGAGTGCAAGGTTACTTTTCATACTGAGAATAAAAATGCTTCTTTAGATATTACAGTTTTTGTATTTAACTTTAGAACCTCCTAAACCAGTATGAAAAGTTTTCTATAAAACTTTGTTTTATCTGTTATTTTCTCTACCCTAACACTAAATGTAGCAAAATCAGCAATTTAGGGTGAAATGAAAAGTTGAAAAATATGGGTTAAAATAAGAAATACCCTTTTTTATTTCTAAGATGACTGCTGATTGTAACAGACGTTACCCATATTTATTATAGCATTCTAAGCTACTAGCATTTCCACATCTGTTTTCATTTAGTTTTATTTCTTTGCAGCTGTACCTAAACTGTCCTTTAAAACTATTTATCACAGTGGGACAGATTAGTATTGTTTGTTAAAAGTGATATGATGATAAATAAAAAGCATACATAAAAATGAGCAATTCAATAATTACACCTGTGTTCAGGCCTTTTACCATCAGAGACAAGGCACTCTGAACATACCTTTTTGTGACTGTGTTGCTTGTACACAAAATAATTCATGTTTATTTCAAACATGCTCTATTACAGAATCTCCCAAAACTACTATAATGTAACTAGATTTTTAGCTAAGCTGTAAATAGGCTTTAAAATGTTATATGCTCTAAGCTAAACACTATGAGCACCAAAATATAATAAATAATATAAGGGAATCTTGTAAAGAAAGGCTGTTGGTTATAAATAATATGTCAGAGAGAATTATAGACATTTTTTTATATCTCAGTAAAGCAAGAATATTAGTGTTTTCTAATTTATATTCTGGCTTGTTAATATTAGTATCTTTTTTCTGTAATTAGTTAGATGCATAGAATCATTAAAGGATAGAAAGAAAATCTAAAATGAGCAATTCAGAGAACAGACATGTCAGGTGACATAGAGAAGTGATGATTGGAAATTTATTTATATATTTCCTTTTGAAATTAAAACTTAAATAATAAAATAATTTGAATTATAAACTGTATTTTGAATGTTTCGTTGTAACAATACACCTTTGACCCAGCCATTGACATAGGGTTAATATCTGTTTTATTTTGTGTGTTACAGAATCCTTGCTTCATTAATTATATGATTGTTTTACCTTTTTTTATGTTACAACTATCCTTGTTATTTTACTCAGTCCATTTACACCTTGCAACAATTCTTGCTTTGATTACTAAGTCCTCTTGAACTTTGTCAGTACTCGTGTTTTATCTTGCATCTTCAGCAATTCTTGTTTTAATCACTTAATCCTTTTATATACCTGTATTTGTTGTATATTCCTTCTTACTTTAAACACATTATACATATTTTTAATACCTGTTTTACATTCAAAACATGTCTTGGTATTAATATTATCCAGTCCACTTATGCGTTGTAATATAAGTAATACTAAATTAGAATGACAATTCTTTAAAACAACTTTTCATCATAAATATATATTCAATCCAGAACAGTTTTTATTGGAGCTAGCTTTGACCTGCTTCAGGAATCATCATCAGGCATTATGAACATAAACATACAGTGTCTTTCTGACAATATCAACACTTGTTGCAAAGCATGATTAGCTCCTTAAGTGGGTAAAAAGCTATCTCCAATAAAAAGAATTTAGATTGAATATATGAATGTGATGAAAAATCTGTTTTAAGAAATTTAATTTTGCTGTTAGATATTGTTAATATTCTCTTTTTTAATACTGTTAATACTGGGCATGTAGTATGTAATTTATGGATTTCTCTTGTCTTGGTATGAGCTCCATGTTGAGCCCTTCATGAAGCCCAGAATGTCATCTTAAACAAAGCAATAACAATGTTTAGTAAAGTCCACAAAACATTTTTGTATTTTATTTCCTTGTTACAACTGTTACTTCAACTTACTTGGAGGGAGTTTGTGCTGTTATCTTAACAGTTAATTGGGTTTTCATAAATGTTTAATGATACTGTTTCATTATCTTTTAATTTTATTTATTAATGTTATACTTTCATTATAAAGATTCTTTTGCTTTGTTAGCTTGATATTTATTTATTAACAACTAATTTAAATCTCCTAAACAATGCACTATTATGTTTGTAGATTAGAATGTAAAAAAAGTGTTGTTGTTCAGAGAAAACATCTTAAAACCTGCCATCTAACCACAAACTTAAGTGTTGTTGTCTAGAGAAAACGTCTTAAAACCTGCCATCTAACCACAAACTTAAGTGTTGTTGTCTAGAGAAAACATCTTAAAACCTGCCATCTAACCACAAACTTAAGTGTTGTTGTCTAGAGAAAACGTCTTAAAACCTGTCATCTGACCATGAATTATAAGTTTTGTTGTATAAAAAAGCATTTTGTTGGCAGGTTCTCTTAAATTATCTGCATAATAATTTCAAATTCCGATACGCTACTTATCTCCTCTCACAAGATTAGCTATTCTCGTTCAGTGCTGCTCTCTATATGCAAACTTTTTCTTTATGCCTGCCACAATCCTTCCTCTCCCCTCCCCCCTTATTGGAATTATAAGATTCCAACATGTCTCATGAAAATCATCATGCTTCACCTCCTCACCAATAGGAGCATGACATGCTCACGTGACCCATGACTCTCTCTTCACTCCTCTACTGAACTGTCACTTCTCGTTTTGCAGCACTTGTGTTTTGGATGTGCTTTTTGTTTGTTTAAAGATTCACGTTCGGCATAAGTTTTTTCATGAAGTTGAATTTATTTAGTTTTCATTACGGCTGTTTCTTCAATTTAACAAATTTTATCAGTTAATTCCCATCGCATTATTCTTTCTCACCACTCGAATTTGGTGAACTCTTATTCACAGTGAATTCCAAAGTTCTTATTACCACTTCGGGGGTCACACCAGTGACTTGCATTATTTCTCAGGCTTCAGGTGCGGGTAGCCCGACGGTGGATTTTCCACATTTATCTGCCAGGAGATCAAACATTACATGGACCAACCTTTGTCCTCCCAACAGGCAGAACCTGTTCAGACCGACGAGGACTTTGATTGTCTATTTCCGCCTCCTGATTTTACCATACCTTCCTGTTCCCCGCCTGAATGAGCCTAACTTGGTCTTTTTGGATTTGTTTCTCAGATACGTGACATTTTATCCCTCTCTCCCCTGATATTCAGGTTCATGCTGATTAATTTACCTCCCAATTAAGTGATGGGTTTAGTATGCCCCCCCCCCTCCTTCTGTGGGCTTCAGATCTTATAATTATAAGATTTCTTTTTGGACCAACAATTGTCGCCAAGAATTCTCGCCTGTGTCTTACCCTTACAACTTTTATGGTATCCTTCTACTTTACAGCTCCTATCTGAGGCTTTCCATGGAAACCCTGAGGGCTGTTCTGGTGATATTCTTTCCTCCACACTAGCTCGCTTGTCATATTCGGCTATGGTTTCTTTGTTGTTGGGACCTTTTAGGTCGTGATGCGGATTTGGCTCAGATCCATTTACAGTCGACTTAGCTTCAGGATTTATGTATGGCCCCATTTCTGCGGCAATACGTTTTTGACACGATCCCAGAAACAATAGTGTCATGGGTGGCATCAGTCCAACAACAATCTACCCTTACCAATATTGTTGCACAATTGCCTCAATCAGAGTCCTATATGCCTCCTATTACCATTTCCCATCCTTCCCCTTCTTAACCCTTACCTGTCCCTTCTACTCAGGGTGACTCTTGTCATAGTTTTTATTTTTCGATGACACACCTCATATTGCCACCAGTACCAGTGACTACCCAGTGTGTTTTGGTCCGATGACAGCTCGGCTTGCCGATTTCTTATTGCTGGGGTTCTTTCATCGAGGATCAATGAGTTCTTCAGGTTTTGTCAGAGGGATTCGTGATCCCCTTCCTTTCTCCATCTTCTGTGTTTCCTTCCCTCCTTGGAATCCCGTGACCTGTCGGAAGCAATTCGGGAATTGCTATCTCAGCAGTCATCAAACCTGTTTTACATCCTTCAACAGGTTTTTTATTCCCGACATTTGTTGTTCCCACGAAAAATGAGGACTGGGGGCCGGTCATAGATTTATCTCACCTCAACAGCTTCGTTAATTTGCCCCAGATTACCATGGAGTCTTTACTTACTCGGAGGTATGCGTTTTCTCGCCATGGTTTATCTCTATATACATATGTCACACACGGTCCCGTCCCTATCTTTGGTTTGTCCATCTTGGGGTGGTTTATCAACCTCGTGCACTAATATTAGAGTTTGCTTCGGCCCCTTCTGTTTTCTGTCGAGTAGTCTGAGCATTTGCTCAACATCTTCATGCTCTGAGGTTGAGTTTCTTTCTTACATGGTTGACTGGCTTATTCTGGTTCATTCCAAACTGGAGTCTACCAGATATATTCAACACCTCTCTTTAGTGTTTTAGGTTTTATTTTATAAATACTTAAAGCAGTTTGTACTTGATGAAACTCCATGATTACAGAATTAAGTTTAAAAGGGGGACAGTTGTATGTATCATAAATATTTCATTTATTATTATTTTGCCAGTAAAGGCATTGTCAAATACAGCCTCTAAATAGGTTTCTGTATGTTAAACCAAAGAACTGGAAATAGCCTTGATGTTCATCTTGTGGCAAGTGGGAGGAGCTAAAGTTCATTTGGTCTTTTGAAACTTGTCTGGGTTCATTTTTACACTTGTATCTGTTTCTAAAATTTCTAAATTATTAAGTTCTTCACCTTTTTCACAGAAATATAAAAATTTTCAATTTTTCTTGATAAGATGGTATTTATTTTATTAGTTTCCTTAAGGTGAGATGCAAAGTTTAATCCATTTTCTCCAGTTTCCAACTTCTTGATTGTTCTTTCTTACCTATATATATACACACACACTATTACAGTATTGACATGTTAATTGGTAGACACTACCAAGGCCATACTTTTCAATGTTGTCTTTGTTGTTACAAACATTTTCTCCAGATTGTTGGTACAGTAGAAGGTTGGTCTGTGGATTTCTTTATTCATTGTGCTATATTTTTTGTGAGAAGGTTTGTCAATGTAGCTTATCTTACACAATTTTTTCTGTGGTATCGTATGTGGGAATATTGATTGTAAGTTAATAGCCTTTAATTTTTTAAACAGCAATATTTCAATTAACTTAGTTCTATAACTATTACCAACAGCTGTCTGAAGATTATGAAACTTAATTAAAAATGATAAAACAATAATTATTACTGACACCTCTTTATCTCAAATATTTATAATATATTTTATGTTTGTGTCTCTTTAAGAGACCTTCTTTATTGTTTAATATAGAATGGTTTTCTTTTCTGATACAGAACTGGATGAATTCTTGTTGGAATTAGATGAAGACGTGGAAGGAATGCAAAGTACCATATACTATTTACAGCAACAACTGAAAGAGTCCAAGGAACAGATAGCCAAGCTTCAACAGGAGAATCAAAAGCTTTGGCAACATACAACAACTTCAGCTAACGCTAGTCGTAACCTCAGTTCTCCTAATCATAGAATAGAACAAAGCAGCTTGTCTTCTGCTTACTTCAGCAATGGAGATGAGGGAAAGGTCACTGAAGAAGCTAGCATTGACAAAGACAATATTGCTGCTTTAAAACAATCAGTACTAGAGGAACGAAGCCAAGAAGTTGAAGAAAACCAAGAAAGCTCCCCTACAAAAGCACTTTCTATATTACAGTCAGAGAAAATATCCCTTCAGCCATCCTCTGTTGTGACTTCCGTTACAGAATCTCTGAATGTCTTTAGAAAAGATACCACAGGAGAAGAGGTAGCATTACCGACATCTGAACGTAACAGTAAAGATGATACAAGACAAAACCATTCATCATTAGCACCAGGATCTAGTACAGAGGATGAAGATACAAATCAGGACTTGGTGATGGATTTACAGAAAGGTGAAAACTCCTCCAATATAACAGACCAACATAGAGAAAGAGAAGTACAAAACAGAGTACAGGAAATGGCAGTGAACTTTTCAAAAGCCTCATATAGGACAGAAGCAACTTCTGAGGTGGTGACTTATAAAACAAGTCGTGAAGCTAGGAAAAGGGCACGTGAAAATTCTCCTGTGGGAAGTATGATGAAAAAAGATGAGATTTTTGTTAAAAGACCCAGAGAAAGTTCTCCTTTAGGCAGTTGTAATAAAGAAAATAATGAATTCGCCCCTTTTAAATGGGCACGAGAAAAACCTCCATTGGGGAATAATATTTTAGAGGACAGGGATAAAATTCCTGTTGAATGGACGCAAGAGAAGTCCCCAGTGGGGAGTAGTGCATCTGATACTAATAGCCAGCAAACTCTAGAGAGGACAGAAGATATAGCTTTAACTGTTAGTGATGCTAAAAATATTACTAGTATTTCTACAGAACGGACAAGACAAGAGACTCTTGAGGGGACTAGCAAAACTGGAAAGAATCAGCTCATAAAAGAAAGCCCACAAGAAGTGCTTTCTCTGGGAAGTTCCACAACTGAAAGTTACCACAAAGGTTCATTTGAAAGGACACAAAAAGAGATGAGTTTGGAAACTAATAGTGAACAACTAGTTGATTTAGAATCTAAAAAAGGAACACAGGGGGAGTCCTCTGTGGAAAGCAGCAACACAGATGATAATGACTTGATCACTGTGAATAGGACACAAACTGAGACTCCTTCAGCAACCAGCCACCCAGAACATAAAGATAAGGTCACTAGAAACCCAGATGGAAGCTTATGTGAAACAGGAAATTCTTTGTCAACTATCGAAGTTGACACTGACACTGAAGTTCAAGTTGCCCAGACTCTAGCCAGCTGGGCAGCTGCAAATAAAGAACCACTGGAGAGGACAGAAGAAACTAGTTCCTCACCAGTTGGAAATGGTGATGTAAATAGTGACTTTAGTATTAGTGATGAAGAGGTTCTGTAGGTTTTCAGGTCAGAGGGTATTTGTTACCTGGTTTTTATTCTATCAGTCTTAAGCTAGCACCAAATGGGTTCAAATTAGTTTCATCCTCAATAGGACTGTTATAATATTTGTATATAATTCATTATTCATAGAACTTGCTAAGTTGTTGGGCTAAAGTGCAGAAAGTAGTTTCTTTATATATTGTTGAAAGAGTCAACATTCCGAACATTTATTTTGTAGGCTGACTTGTGTTTTAATCAAAGTGTAAGTGGTGTACTGAATTTAGAAGAAGAAAAAAATCACATTTTAATACATGCTGCCTAATTGTGCTTTTGTGTGTATTGTATTGAAAAAAATGTTTTTCATTCTGCATGGGAAATAAACTGTGTTGAATCTGATATTTTGTTCTTTTTTTGAAAACCCAAATATTTCAGTGAATAAAGGGAATAGTTATCAAAGAAACATCTATTCACTCAATATTCCATTGTTTAACATTTTATTATTAAACTTGCTAGTTTGTATAAAGTTTCAAGAAACATTTTTGGTCAGTTTATTTACAATATTTTGTAAAGGAATTAATTTTTATAAATTACAGGAAAATCAATGCCTTAGCCAAAACTATCTTTCAAAATTAATAGGTTTCAATATTTGAAACAAATGATCTATAAAAAGCAAATACCTCTTATGGCAGCATTTTTATCCTGAATTAATAGTAGGAAGGTGAATGGCTGGAAAAATACTATGCAATGGGTAAGGCATACATGTTTTGTAGTTAGGGAAGACCAACAGTAAAGTGATCAAAATCAAAGGAATATAAATTCTAACTAAATGGCCTTGCAACATCTAGATTCAGTGTTTAATTCAAGTTAACTCCAACATCAAACTGATCTATATAAATCACTCAATCTCAAACAGTTAAATTATCTTCACCTAGAACATGGAGAACACCAACCAAGTAAAATTACCTTCATGTAGAACATGTAGTACACCCATCTTGTCAAATGGTTTTAATCCTCAACATAGAGAAAACTATCCCAGTTAAATTATCTTCACATAGAACATGGAGAACACCAACCAAATAAAATTACCTTCATCTAAAACATGTAGTGCACCCATCTTGTCAAATGGTTTTAATCCACAACATAGAGAAAACTATCCTAGTAAAATTATCTTCACCTAGAACATGGAGAACACCAACCAAATAAAATTACCTTCATATAGAACATGTAGTACACCCATCTTGTCAAATGGTTTTAATCCACAACATAGAGAAAACTATCCCAGTTAAATTATCTTCATATAGAACATAGAGAACACCAACCAAATAAAATTACCTTCATGTAGAACATGTAGTACATCCATCTTGTCAAATGGTTTTAATCCACAACATAGAGAAAACTATCCCAGTTAAATTATCTTCATATAGAACATGGAGAACACCAACCAAATAAAATTACCGTCATCTAGAACATGTAGTGCACCCATCTTGTCAAATGGTTTTAACCTACAATATAGAGAAAGCTATCCTAGTAAAATTATCTTCATATAGAACATGGAGAACACCAACCAAATAAAATTATCTTCATCTAGAACATGTAGTGCACCCATCTTGTCAAATGGTTTTAATCCACAACATAGAGAAAACTATCCTAGTAAAATTATCTTCACCTAGAACATGGAGAACACCAACCAAATAAAATTATCTTCATCTAGAACATGTAGTGCACCCATCTTGTCAAATGGTTTTAATCTACAATATAGAGAAAACTATCCTAGTAAAATTATCTTCATATAGGACGTGGAGAAAACTTACCCAGGTAAATGGTCTTCAGTAAGAACATTGAGAACACTAGCTTATTAAATTATCTACACCTAGAACATGGAGAACACAAACTCAGTTAAATGTTCTTCATGTAGAACACCAACCAAATTGAATAATTTTAATTTAGAAAATGGAGATCAGAATCCTGTTAAAAGAAAGTAAAGAATGTTTCTCGTACTAGTTCTCCAAATGTTTCCTATCTTACTAAAATTTTTATTATGGTTATATTTTTGAAAATCTTGTAATAAACATTTCTTTATATTTTTCGTAATGGCGCAACTTATAAAATATTACAAGCGTAAACGTTGAAATTAATACTATTTAAATTATGATAATGCTAGTATTGCTCAATAGAAGAAGACACCAGTTCAAACGTTCTTGCCCATATAAATACCGTTCAACCTTGTGGGAAAAAATCTAGATCCTAAAATCAATGTCAGAAAAATAAGTTTTCATTTTCCATGAGTGGTGTAAATTTGTCATTTTTCCTCCTAATCTTCTTTGATACGTATTACTTATTTATGACAATTTTCTACGTTTCTTTTTAACTAATCTTCATTTTACTTTGTCAATACTCGGTGTACTTTCCCTCGACTTTTTTTTTCACACACAAAAAAAACTCTATGGCTAACATCTTAGTTTTTGGTGAGGTGCATTGAAAGGTAAACAACGTAAATGAGTGTTGTTTCGCGAAGCGTGAGAAGAAAAACTTTGATAACACACAATAAAGAATGATTATTTCGATCGTAAAACGGTATTTACTGTTTGACGAAAGGAGTCTGTCCGCAACGTAGCACAAAGTGAACTAGGAAAAGTTTTCATTTATTCGTATCAAGTTATTCTTTATTATCTCTTATCCAAGTTAACCAAAACACTGCCGAGTTATCATGGTAGTCTGCCGTGACGCCATACCATTTTTATCATTCATAGTTTGCCCCTGATGGGTTAAAGGGTTTTGTATTTTTGACGAAAAGAGACGTTTTCGACTAGCTAGTAAAATATGCACTACCGTCACTTCGGTTTAAAAGTTTTTAAATGATAATAAATAATTAAAAACAACGTTTTTAGGAGTATGTTTGTTTGAATACTCTTTTACCAATGACTAGTGGTTATATTATAATACCCCCACGGTTAAAGGGGCGAGCATATTTGGTGGAATGGGGGGGGGGGAATTCGATCACGCGACCGTTCGATTACGAGTAGAGCGCCCTAACCATCTGGCCATACCAAGCCTCCTCAGCGGTACGTTGTTCTTGGCAGTTATTTTGATTTAAAAATAATTATCTCTTGAGAAATAATTACTAATCAAGAGTGCTCGAAGATTAGACAATCCTCCTTCACCCTGCTCGTGGCACAAGGTTAAATTTCAATTAATGGTTAGAGGTTAGGAAATATGCAAATAACAATGAAGTAATGTGACAAGGGGAAAGTAGTCTTGTAAGTTACCCCTGAGGAGGTAACTTACAAGACTTTTATATTTTCCTCTTGTCACATTACTTCATTGTTATTTGCATATTTCCTAACCTCTAACCATTAATTGAAATTTAACCTTGTGCCACGAGCAGGGTGAAGGAGGATTGTCTAATCTTCGAGCACTCTTGATTAGTAATTATTTCTCAAGA